AACTGTAGCAACAATTAATTCAAACAATTAATAACAAAAATTTCATATGTTGGAGAGACAATAAAAAATACTGAAAATCAGACAATTTTTTTTATTCTTTTCATCCTCACTATCAATAGTAAATAAATTTTGTGATAATTACCTCTAAAAATTAACATTATATTACATATAATACATGATATTAGAATACATAGTCATTCAAAAATAATTTCAATTGAAATTAAAAATGTGTTGATTAAAGAATTAATTATATTATACTTTTTTTAAAAGATTTTTTTCTACTTTTAGCTTTTCTTGATTTTTAAAAATGTAGGTACTTTAATCAATATAAATATTAAATCAAACAAAATTCGTTTTCTCTAATATTAATGCAGCAAAGTCTATATTCATAAAATAGTATTTGTAACATATTTTATTTATATTCAATTCATTTTTACATTTTGGTACAAAACAATGGCAAACAACAAAAATATTACAAATACGTTTATTAAACTCGTGATAGTTGAAAATAAATGCTTTTGAAACGTAGAAATATATTTAAATATGTTACTATTTCCTACCGTTTTTGAAATATTTCACTTACCAGAAGAGAAAGAAATAAAAATATGTACAAGATTTAAACGAGTTAAATTCACTGTAATTGTTTTAAGTTAAGAAATTTTAAATAAAAAATGTATTTAGAAGGTACTTTGAAAAATTCAAGAAATTTAATCCAGTGTCCTTACAACATGATCGCATATACTTAGAGGATATAAATTAAACTAAATCCCGTAGTATGAAATAAAATAAAAATAAGTACATATCAAACAATGTAAGTGTGACACAATTAAAATGAATTCGATTAGTCATAAGTCATAAAATTAATATTAAATTAATTGTAATTTCTAAATATCTTTAAAAAAAAAAAAAAATTTTATAAATACCGGAGTTTCAGAGAAAGTTTGGAAGGAATTGGAAAATGATTGAATAATTTAAACGGAAAATCTACCAATTTGTTACCTAAATAATTGAATATAATCCGCCTATAACTAATATCAAATTGCAATTACAATTTATTTGAAATGTATGAGGTAAATGAGGTCACTAATAGCAAAAAATTGTAAAATCATTACCTTCGCAAGTTTTCTTTTCTTTTCCTTTTTTTTTTTTTTTTTTTTTTTTTTACATTATTTTAGTTTCCATGAAATGTTGTCAAATATATTATTTCTATCGCCATTAAAATCAAATGCATTTCTTTTAATCACATTATTATTATTTTTTGTTTTTTAATAATTATAAATAGGATTAATCACTATTATATATGATGATTACTATCTCCATGAATAGCATTCGAATATTAATGAAATTGTGGAATTCGCACGATATATTACAATACTAATAGAGTGAATGAAAAAAAAAAAAAAAAGTAAATAATAATAGTGATGATAGAAAGCGTCGAGGAAAAAAAAGGAAAATTAAAAGAAAAAGTGAGAACATGCAAGAATGGAAAAACAATTAACGATCAGAAGCCGGCGCAATTAGATGAGTAATGAATGGAATAAATAAGATAATACCGGTTAACATTATAATAACGATTAATAAGCTGATATATTAAAAAAAAAAAAAAAAATTATTAAAATGTAATGAGTCATATATAAATCATACGTTAGACACATTATCGCTTTCATCGCGTAGTCGTTACATTATGCTTCACGCGTAGTTCGCAATAAAAATTCGCTGCTCACTAATTTTATTTTTTACTAATGGTGATGATGGAGAAAAAGATAAAAAGAAAGAGGCCATGATTTAAAAAAAGGAATCGAGACAAACACTATGCTAGACAATACAATATAAAGATAAATATAGAATATATTGTATATCTATATAAATATAGATCATACGTGAATAAAGCATGTGCGTTAACATGTATGAAATAAAGGATGGATAATGTAAAGTTGATAATTTGATAAATGAGGGACATAAGTACGGAGAGGATAATTTGCGGAAAGATTGAATAAAACGAAACGAGTGCATAACCGAGTAAGATAGACAGACAGATAGATAGATAAATAGACGGCGGGAGGGAGTGAGTAGGGAGTAGCGAGAGCAGGCGAGTTGCGACGGTGGAGGGAGGATCGAGGTGGGTCGGTGAGGTGGAATGGGGGATGGTGGGTGGGGTGGGGTGGGGGGAGTCATAGAAATCTCTGGCCATCTAAGAGCATAATAATTAACGAGGTAGAACGAACAGTCGAACAAAGTCCAAGAGGAAAACCAATCCTATCGCTGTCATATAAAATACGCTATATGCGCGTGCTGCCGAAAAATTGTGAAAATATGCATGCCACAGTCGAAATGTAGTGGTAATAATAAATATGGTACCTAACGCACACGAGCAAGCAATTTATATGATGCATTAAATAGCTCGAGGAAAAAATGAGATCGAGTGAATTTTATACCTGTTACTAACTACCTTCAAAAGAGCGAGAGAGACATGACGTCGAGCCTGCGAGCCTGTGTAAGTTTGCATGCGCACGTAGTGAGAATAACGAGAGAGAGAGAGAGAGAGAGAGAGAGAGAGAGAGGGGGGAGAGGAGGAGCGTAAAGTAGAAAGAGCAAGTCGCGTCCACAGAGGCACTAGTAGCGTACGTACAACGTATTTGCACACAGACGGCCAACACAGTCGACCTGGTGTACGCGTGTACGTACACGCGAGGCAGAGCGCAGATGTGTGCATTAGAGGCTATTAAACAGACAGGCGAAAGGGGGAAAACGTTGTCGAGGGAAATGTGTAGGTAAATGTGCAAGCGAGAAGAAAGATATGCGCAAAAATCGTTGCCGAGAAAAACGTGTAGGTAAATTGATGAACCGTGTAGAGCAATATGCATAAATTGCATATGTATATATAATGTGCTGGCAAGCGAGAAGGAGCAGAGAAGGAGAGAGAGAGAGAGAGAGAGAGAGAGAGAGGAATGACTCGCCGGTGAGAGAGACGAAGCGCGTGAGTGGCAGGCAGAGAGAAAATGAAGCTGGAGAGAAGATGTTGGCAGGCGTAAATTGCCCGAGAGGAAGGAAAGGAATGAAACTTTTCTCATCCGAGTGCATCAAAGTCGAGCATAAAGAACGTTTCGTACTCTGTCTATCGACTCTAATCTCTCTTCTTCCAGCTCGACAGAACGAAAAAGAAAAAAAGGAGAGAGAAAAAAAGATGGTAGCTCGCGATTCTCTTACTTGCCACTTTCATCGAGCGAGCGTTCTCTAATAACAGGCGACGACGACTCTCGAAACCTTGCGAACCTTTACCTCAAAATCGTTAATATTCGTCAACGGCGCACGAATGCTGGGCCTGCGAATAACCCTTTGATTCCACTGCACATACGTACGACATAGGATGGAGATTGTCCAAACGACTTTAGAAACCCGTCGGTTGGCTAAGCGCCGCCTCATCCCAACGAACCTGAAATAATACATAGTGCATATGCGCCGACCGTGAGGGCATTTGACATTGCGAAGCTGCGCCGAGAGGAGCCCAGCGTAGACGACCGGAAAGACGTTCGTCGCTGCTCGGTTCCGGGGTATCGAATAATATAATACGGTGCCTACTAAGGACGACGGCGACGCACCTGCCTCGATCTCGGGCGTATCAATTCCACCGACGCCCGTAAGTGACCATCGACCTAACCTACAAGCGCCAATAGCCAAACTGGCAATAAGGCGCGATCGTCTCCGAGTATGAGAATCATCTTGTTAGCGAACCTGTGACGGGCGAGGAGCCTGACCAACGCCAAGAAATAATCGAAGCTCCGGTCCCCACGAACAAGCACCTTGAAAAGAAGCTCGCGACTCGCCGCTAACTTCTTTAACTCGTCCCGAACGAGCCGAAAGACCAAGCCCCGTCTAGGTTAGGTCGCCAAGAGACTCGAGAGCGCGAGCCCGGAGAGGGAGGAAGCGACGAGGACGGATCGAGCGGAGGAGCGAGTGAGCGAGCGAGCGAACGAGCGAGGAGTGGCCCGCGAGACGTTGAATCGAGAACGCAAGCGCGAGTGAGAGCGAGAGCGTGAAAAGGGGCCGGTGTTGTGCGATTGCGCGTGCGCGTGCGCGCGCGCTCGTGTCGCGTACGTGTGCATTTGCGTGCGTTCTTTGCGGTTGGTCGGCGGGGGGGGGGGACGAGAGGGTAACGCCGCCGACACCGGCGCCCCTCGCCGAGCCCCGCTGGAGTCGTCCGGATGCGCGCGCCGCAGCGCGAGAAAAACGTACGTAGGATGGAGCGAGGAGCTTCCCCCCGGCGGCCGCCCAAGTGCCGAGCTGTTGGCTGCGCGGCGACGGCATTTCAGCCGCTGACTTGGCGCAGGCACGTTGTCGCGCTTGTCGCGGAAGGGACACGGAGGAAAGCTCGCGCGGCCCGTACAGGTTAGGAAATAGGAGAGAGAGAGAGAGAGAGAGAGAGAGAGAGAGAGGGAGATAGAGAGAACGAGTGGCGACTGAGAAGAAGGAGGAGAGGCTCTTTGCGCAAGGGGTGCGAGCGAGCGAGAGGACTGCTGTTTCGAGTACGCCGCGCGCTACATACACGGGCTCTCTTTGCGCATGTGCGGCCCCCCTCCGTGCGCGTGTGTGCGTGCGTGCGTGCGTGCGCGCGCTCGTGCGCCTGTCTCTCTGTGAATAAACGTGGATACGGGCAATATAGTACGCGCGTGTACGTAAACGTGAGGCCGCAGGGAGTGAGAGGGACGGCCGAGGCGTATGTAGACGAGGCTCGAGCGGGATTTTTGGTGCGAGCGGCGGTCGCGGGGAGGCCCCTCGACTCCCGTCGACTCCCGAGGAGGATCGGCGACAGAGCCAGCGGTGAGCGAGGAGGAGGCGCGGGGGGCAACCGTAGCTGGGTCACAGCCGAGAGAGGAGAGCGCGCGCGTGTGTACGTGAACGGACGTGTGGGAGGGTGGGAGCCGAACGTTGGCGAGGAGAGAGCGGCGGCGGCGTCCTCCTCGTCGTCGTCCTCCTCGTCGTCCTCGTCGTCGGATGGACGACGAGCGGGCAGCGGAAGCAGCGACTATGCGCCACGCCGGCTTGAGGCCCTCGCTCAACGGGAGCAGCAGTTAGCTGCTCTAGGAAGGAGATTAGTCGGGAGGAGGCGATTACCCCGAGAGGAGACAGAGAAGAGGGATTCATAGCCTACAAAGATGACCATAATAGTCTTTCTCATCGACACCTCGGCCTCGATGAACCAGAGGGCTTATCTGGGTGGTCGACCCACCCTGCTAGACGTGGCCAAGAGCGCTGTCGAGACATTTGTCAAGGTACGCAGAGGGAGCATTGCAGAGAAGGCTGGAGAGCCAGCGTAAAGTGACTCCGGCTCTCTAGAGGACTGCGTGCACCGCTCTACAAAACTCTTCTGCTGTTAAATTTCCTTACTTGAGTCGAAGGATTTTGATTCACCGGGACTGGGAATAAATGGCGTCTAGCCTGATAGAATCCCTATCATGATAACCCACGAGCTTTGTAAATTTGTATCGCTTTGACGCACATGAGAACTTGTACATTGTATTACCACTGTAGCTCTAATGCTATATGTAAGAGCGTTAGAATGATATATGGAACGAAGAATTTTGTAAAATTAACGAATGGTCTATGTAACGATGATAATATGTATAAATTATATTGTATGTAATTGTTACGTACGACCTACAAGATAGTATAATAATTCCGTTTTAGTTCAAAAGACTTATAATATTAGCATTCTAGCTGGTAGTTCTAATTCTCTTCCTATACTACTGCTTCCAAATACATTGAGTTCTGGATTAAAAATGTTTGTTAATATCGCTTAACTTTTTGAACATTTTGAAAATTCTTGTACAATTAAATGCTACTTTGAAGTACTGTTTTATTAAGAGAAAGAGAAAAGTCAAAAAATGAAAGAAAGAATGAAGGAAGAGAAATGATTGTATCTCATTATGAATTTACATAAGTTATCGTGCATAAGATTCTTGTAGAAATTTACAGCAGAGGTATGTAGTAGTTAAATTTCAAAGAAAATGAAAACATGAGAGTTGATTGATTTGGCTCTACAATTAAATGTAATTAAATCTAAATACACAATATCAGTTTACAACCTTAATATAATTTTCCATTAAACTAGTAATTTAACAGCGGCTTGTAGCTACTTTATGTAAAATAAAAAATTTTTATTGTCAACTAAAAGCTTGTGTACTCCTATATGTATGTGCATATATATATATCCATCTATCTATCTATATATATATATATATATATATATGTATATATATATGTATATATATATATATATATATATATATATATAGATATTGTTAAATAAATGGCAAAACTCAATCGTCTATCATCTAATAATTCTCAATCAAAAGTACATATTTAGATGGATACTTTTTTTTTTCAGGTCCGACAAAGGTCACCAGAGAGTAGAGGAGATAGATACATGTTATTGACCTTTGAAGATACACCTCATAACATAAAGGTATTATAATTATTGTTTCGCAATTTTTTCTTACCTCCTTTTCTTTTTCAGATCTTCCGATGATTTCAGATAATTAAGAAATAAATGTATTTGAAATGTAGATTATTACCAATCCAATGGTATTTAACTTGTTGACATGAATACTACTGAACTATAGCATTATGACTCACCAACACAACTGATGACAATACTTAAAAAGATTTTACAATTTTAGCACAACTTTGTCTATTTTTAGAGACTTCTGCATCTATTCGTAATTCAAATTTTGTAAATGAAACCTTCAATTATCTACTTTTAAACAAAAATCTTTTTCACAGAATCCGAAATTTTGTCAAGTTTCATGACACATTACAAATGTGTATATACGTATGCGTGTGCGCGCGTATGCGTATGTATATTATAAGTAACGTATTTTCATGACAATTAGGTTTTTCATTTGTTCATAAATCATGCTATGCTGGTTGCTAATATTTAATATTAGTCTTATTAGTAAGTTGAAAAGAAAAAGAAAGTTAAAGCTAGTTAATTAAAAACTCAGAGCAAAAATAAAAAATACAAATGAAACATGTTCTTGGGATTTTAAGAATTTATAATAAAATTTATATAAAAATAGTATCGTTAAGGAGAAAATTATTATTCAAATCTTTATTTACATACCAATGAAAACTTAAGGGATCGGATTATAACTGATTTGTTATAACAAATTTATTCGTTTGTCATTCTGCATTAAGCATGGCAATTTCTAATTATAGATAGAAAACTAAAATTGAAAGCATATTGAAAGTAATTAATTGTTTCTACTTTATTTGAAAATTTTAACAAATAATTCCTTGCCTAAGCTCGATCGAGTAATAATGACTATGCAATAGTTTGGCTCTAATTATTATAGCCAATAACTCGTTTCAAATTATTCATAAAATTTGATATTTACAAGTTCATTCGAAAGTTGTTCAAACGAAAAATTGTTTACAAAAGCAGATAAAGATGATTTTGAATTATTTTAATTATTAAGCCTGAGATGACATTTTTAAGAAATCGAATATCAGTGCACTGGCACTGACACTCTCACTGATTGTCGAAAGCGACAAACAATATCCTTATTACGAAGACTTAACGTCTAGCGGATTTCGATAACTTGCATCACAATTCAAATTAATCGTTCGAATTTTTCAATGAGCCCCGACATTACATACTGCACGGCTAAAAATAACACCCGAATCTACGATCGGCAATAGGTTCATAGACATTGCCACCCAATAATAAGTAACGGTCCTTCACTCAACAGTCGATCGAATAAAAAAGAATCCGCGACGCGTCATCGTGTCTCATAAACGCGATGATGAAAAGCCGAGGGCAGCGACAGAAGTTGGCTGCCCTCCAATGCCCCCCCCCTCCACAGGGCGGAAACTCATACTTTTTCTCCCGAAGTTAGAACGCCACTCTCACCGGCTCCTATGTATATATCGCAGGCCGGCTGGAAGGAGAATCTGGCGACATTCATGAACGAGCTGAAGAATCTGCAGTGCGTCGGCCTCACGACCCTCGGCACCGCCCTCAAAAATGCCTTTGACGTGCTCAACATTAATCGCATGCAGACGGGCATCGACACCTACGGACAAGGCAGATGCCCCTTTTACCTCGAGCCATCGGTCATCGTCGTCATCACCGATGGCGGCAAGTACACGACCGGAAACGGAGTTCACCAGGACGTTAGTATCTTCATCTACTATATTACGACGATGTGTGTTTAGAAAGCTCGTGGAGGCGTCGTCGGTGCGCCTTTAACGCGATCCTAACTCAATTCCCCTCGATTATTAGCGTCAATAACATAGATTGCGATATTCTTCTGTTGGAACGTGATTGAATCGTCGTAGCGCTTGTGCCCTCCATTAGCAAGTGCTTATAGAGATGCGCTATTCGCGTGAACATGTTGCTTAGCGCTCTAGGATTAATTAAACAAACGATTCGCTTGCTACTGATGACGATTATTGAGAAATTGCTTACTGTCCCTGTAATATCTTAATTTAGCTCTTAAAATACAGACTTTCCCATCGATGATGCCGTACGTAAATTTTAGGCCTTTATTAAATGATACGTACAATATCGACAGTTAACTTTCTTTTTTTCCCCTTTTTCATCATTCTTTTTTGTAGAATTTATAATTTTTTTTTTTTTTTTTTAAGAAATACATCCATTTCTTTATTTTACATTTGGATTTTCAATCTTGTATCCGGGTGTAAAAAATTCATCTATTTAATGCTTTTAGCTACATATATTTTTATAATAAATTTGACAGTGTGCCGTATTAAATGTGTCGATTATTATATGAATTTCATTTGAAAATTGCCTTAAGATTCTATTTGATTAAACGCAATATCAAACATTATTATTAAATTTGGATTTATTTAAATTCAAAAAACAAAAACAAAAAAAACAAAAAAAAAAGTCGGAAAACAATTATTCGATAAAAGTTATAATTTGCATCATCGCCCATCATTTCTCTTTTACGGTAAATTTTCTTCTTTAAGAAATTAAAACTAATAAATATTTAAAGCATTATAAATATATTTATTTTATATTACTAGTAAACATTTAAAAACACTATAGAATTATTCGGAAACGTTTTAAATTTTAGATATATATATATATATATTTTTTTTTTTTTTTTTTTTTTTTTTTTTTTTTCTGGGAAAGTTAAATGGCAACTGTAGAGTAAGTTTACGATGACAGTTAACCTCAAAAATCTTATGTAAAAAATATGATAAAGCAAAATTTCTATTCATTAGTTATCCCAAATTACATAATTACATAGATCTAAATATTCATCAATTAGATCTATGAAACAAACAAAATATATATATATATATATATATATATAATTAATAAGAATCCATGAAAAAAAAAAAAAAACATCAATAAATTTCATAAATTCATAAATTATATTTTTGTAAAAGCGAATTTTCGAAAGGTGAAGCTATAATCTATCATCATTCAAAAAAGACTAATTTATGTCAGTAAATAAAATTTTTTATATCGTAGAATATATTTTATAAATACCCAAAATGTCGAAACGTGATATTTAATATACTCCATTTCTTTAATTTTTATATACATATATTAATACATAAATCCTATAAAACATATTTGATGCTTTCGATCGCGTAATTTAACTGGAAAAAGAAAAATTGAAATAAAAATTTATATACATTTGATATCATTTAGTATTGATAACTATGTTTGAATAGGTAGGCACCATTACTTATTGCGCCAAGTAGGCACGCGAATTTTCTTTATGCCCGATCGTGAAAATTTTGGCGTACATGAAGAGAAACATAATGTACAAACATCATATTTTATCACTTCAAGGAATGTTTCTAAAGCTACTAGATTATGATTAAAACAATGACGGCGCTTAAGCAGAAAAAATGATGCACCAGGTGGCGTACAGTTAAATACAGCCGCTATTACTCTTAGTAAAGAGTAGCAGCTCAGTTTTAACACAATATGGTAGAAAGTAATATAAAAACTTTCTTAATATAAGCATTTTCACACCTTTTTATTTTTCTTTTTTAATGTCGAATCTCGTTTTATTTCATAAGTCTCTAGCTCAAACATTTCAATGAAATATCAAAATTTACTATATGAAATGGTTACCTATTAAACTATGCTTACATAGTAATCAAAATCTAATCAATTATGAATTATTTCCGTCTTTTATAATTAATTATTGTACCTGTATCTTGAAATATTATACTATTGTTTTCTAACATTTCAATATTAAAATAAAATAAACGCGCTCACTCTTAAAATAGATTTTATTTAGGTAATACGAGGCATCTAGTAACAGATTGTGCACAAATGTTATAATACATAAAATAAAAGACCTTAGCGCTAAAAATGGTAAGCGATTAAAATATACATACGCGCAATACACAGTAATAAAGTGTGACGATGTTTATTAGCTCAAATTTGCTCATTGAATATCATAAGTGAAATTAATTAGTAACCCTAATACTTAACAATAAAGTAGCAGCCTAAATTTATGATTTTGACGTTAACGCACATTTCAGTTGACAAGATTCATTTATTAACACGTAGTCGTTATTAATTATGTAAGAAAAAGAGATTCGTTTTAATGTACGTACAGAGAGTTTGATGAATTTCGAATCGGACTGACGAACGCTTTTTTCCAAATTGTAATTTTAACAATCGCGTACATGAAAATATTGGAATTTACGATAATTGTCCTTTCGTAAACAAAATATATATATATATATATATATATATATATATATATATATATATATATATATATAACACACGCGAGAAAAAAAAGAAAAAAAATATATATATAGCACACGGGAGAAAAAAAAGAGGAAAAATTTGATTAAACGTTCATCAAATACGGCTCGTTGTAGATAAACGAAACATATCGTAAATTAATAAATAAAAATTTGTACCCGCGCGAGCGCCCATTTGTGTGTGTATTCACGCCATTAAATATCGCGAAACGACAAAATAAAGCGTATAACCTCATAAACATGAAATGCCGATTAAGAGTTATCGAGAGCGTATGTATGTAAGGAAATTTCGCACTATGCGCGACAATAATTTTGCGGTTCAAGGCCAAGCTTCACCTTAAAGTCTTTTAGTCACGGCGCGCAAGCGGGTATCAAATGCTTTTGCCCAGTAATATTAATAATTATACGGCCGGAATAAAAAAGCCAAGTACACTTTCTCGCAGTTCACCTTGCCGATGCATACGCCGATACCGGGCTCGGAGCTAACGAAGGAGCCCTTCCGCTGGGATCAGCGTCTCTTCTCCTTGGTTCTACGACTATCCGGTACACCAGCGGTGGAGCGAGACACGGGTCTCGTGGCCAGTGATGCCTCGCCCATCGATGCCATGTGCGAAGTGACGGGTGGCCGCTCCTACTGCATCACCTCCCATCGTATGATGATGCAGTGCATCGACTCGCTCGTACAGAAAGTCCAGTCGGGCGTCGTCATCAACTTCGAGAAGATCGGCCCGGATCCACTGCCCCTGGCCAACGAGTCCGTCAACTCCTTGCACTCGGAAAATGACGAGGAGAACGAGGAGGAGACTGGCGGTCTTACGACCAACGGCTCCATCGCGGTAAATACGCCTTTCGCCCTTAGAAGCATTTGGGTAATACTCCTCGGGAAGCATATGCTTAATTGCGCATGCCAATTAATAACTCTCTCTCTCTCTCTCTCCCACCCTCCCTCTCTCCCTGTCTATCTATCTCTATCTCTATCTCTATCTCTATCTCTCTGTGCTTGCGTGCGTGCGTGCGTGCGTGCGTGTGTTGAAAATCCGATATACAAATTAGAAGGCGGCAATTCGTCTATTACAATATGCCATCGACTCTCCCAATTATTTACGACTGATCTATGCTCATGGCTAATGACTATACTTGCGCGTAAGAAAATTTGAAGAGAAAAATATCTTAAGCAATTAATATTGAGTGTTTGAGGAGCAACCGTTAAAAAAATTTAAAAAATATCGAAATGAATTAAAAAATAAAAAGAATTAACGTATTATGATTCGAATCACGTCTGTTTATACAAATGAAGCATTTTGCCCGGAGATAGATAATCGTATATCGAGTCACGAATGCATAGATGTATGTAAACTGTTTTACCCTAAGTCGGGTTAAGCGTTGGAGTAAGAGGATGAATTTTTGCATATTTTCCTCGCACGATGCGATGCTTCATTATCGAATCATAATTAATGCCACAGATCAAATAATAGTTGCATTAAAGTGGCAGTGGTCGTGACATTTTTTTAATTGACGTCTTATTAAAATGCAGGGAAGAAACGCGGCGTATCCGAACGCAAACTCAAATTCGACGATAGGCAGCATGATGCCAAACAACCTAGCCAACAGCACGGCGTGGCACTCCTGCCGTCGGCTCATCTACGTGCCACGCTCGGCACAGAAGGGCTTCGCCGTCGGCTTCTGGCCCATCCCCGAGAGCTTTTGGCCGGACATATCGGCGAGTTCGCTGCCACCCCGCTCGGCCCATCCCAACGTCAAGTTCACGTGCACGAGTCAGGAGCCCCTCGTCATCGAGAATCTGCCCTTCGACAAGTACGAGCTCGAGCCGAGCCCCCTGACACAGTTCATACTGGCGAGGAAGCAGCCGACGATTTGCTGGCAGGTGTTCATCGCCAATTCGTACAAGAGCAGCGAGGTTGGACATCCGTTCGGCTACCTCAAGGCCAGCACCAATCTCACCTGCGTCAACCTCTTCGTCATGCCCTATAATTATCCGGTGCTGTTGCCCCTCCTGGATGAGCTCTTCAAGGTTCATCGACTCAAGCCGAGCAACGAGTGGAGGACTCAGTTCACGAATTACATGAGGACTATGCCTGCCTATTATGCAGCCGTGAGTTCATCCGCTAATTATCTCTCACACACACACATCTCTCTCTCTCTCTCTCTCTCTCTCTCTCTCGCTAGCTCGCTCGCTCCTCCTATTACTCTACATTTGCGTTTATCGAGTCCACGCGCTGGACATACTTAATAATATTGTCATTATCGATCGAAGAGTGGCAATTAATACGTCGAACTTCAAGAATAATATGCCAAACTTTCTTTCCTCTTTGACTTTTTAAATTAATGAATTTCGATTAGGAATATAACAAAGTCGTGCTGTATAATAAATGAAATTGTAGCTACAATCAATTAATAGTCTGTAATACTTATATAATTCATGCTTTTGCTATAAACGCGCAATAAATACACTTTCATTATTTCGCATTTCATCGTATCGTTTCACGCTGAACATCATAATTAATAATCTTGTGCAAATATTATCTCACCGAGCGCAACTTCGGTTAATGTACAAGTTACGTAAGTGTAAAACAACCTCTACATATTATCATAAAATTATATCCCTGTTAAAAGAGATAAGCTTAAATTAAAGATGGGATTAAACAATGTCTATATCACTAGCCAATGTGACCGTAATTTGCTATTTATATTTATTAATTTAAAGTCCCTTTCTAGTAAAATTTTGCAAAGTATATAATATGATGAGATATTAAAGTTGGAGAAAGATCGAAATCCAGCAAATACTTTCGTAATTTCTTTATGCTATTTAATGTTATAGTAGTCTTTAATACGTTGGGCTTGAAGGAAATGCCAATATTTCTTTTACATCATTAACTTAGATCGTGAATGAAGATTTTTATTTCGAAGTCGAACTACAAGTCTTGTAAAAATTTTTAACAATCGTGTGCCCTAGCTCCAACTACCCTACAATATCTTAAAAATAACAAAGTTTTTTTTACACTTCAATTAGACTCATTTTGCTGTAAGTGCTTCTTTATTTACCTGAATTAATACTTGAAATTTTGTACTTCGACAGTCGCTGAGGAGAGCATTAACGCGAATGGGTGCTCCAGCTGCACTGGCGCAAACTCTCATACCCGACAACATGGATAACACTTTGTCGTACAGTGTACTCAATTACTTGAAGCGACTGAAGAACACAGCAAAGATGGAGTTCGACCGACTTTGTAACGAAGTCATATCGAAACAAGTAGCCAACAAAAGCCTAGCCAACGGTAGTACCAATGCCGTACTCGAGGGCCTACGTGTCACTCCTCGTGCAACCCTGAAAAAAGACCTGGTAATTGTAGTAGATTAGCATTTTACAGCTACGTCATTGTATTAAAAAAGTTCATCTAACTGGCAGAATTGCATTGATGTACGTATGACATTCACTCTGCACGCATTAAATCGCCGATTCTCTTTCCTCTCACAGCTATCGAATTCGTTAACGGATCTCAGAGACGAGCTAAATAAATTCAGCGGTTTCGTGGTGGGTCTAGTGAAGAATCATCAGCAGCAACGCGGCGCCCAGAGCTACCGTAACGCCTTCGACATACCGCGCAAGTCGCTCCTTGACCAAGTTGTGCGTATGCGTGCCAACTTCCTGCAGCCAGGACTACTGCACACGAAGCTATTAGACGACGACTACGTGCACTCGATGCCAGTTTCGCAGATGGGGAACTACCAGGAATATCTGAAGCGGATGACACCTCCGCTCAGGGAAATCGAGAGCACGCCTGTCCGACAACATATGTTCGGTTGGTTTCATCCCTTTCATTCGAAAATTTATAGCCATTGACCATTTTATTAGAATAGTTGCAAATAAAGTCCCGTAATGTCCTTGATAGGTCTTTAATTTCTCCTTTACATCAATAAATCGCACTTCTTTTAAGTCGAACCGATTGAAAAATCATCTAATCGGTAATGAACAAACCTCTATTGGCTATTATTTTTTATTTTATTTTATTTTATTTTCACTGACTGACTACCTTTATTGTACCTATAGTGTTTATAGTGAAAAAATGTCGATGAGCTAGTATTTCCCGTAAAAATAAATGAATAACAAACATAATTAACATGATAGCGTTAGGGAGAAATGCGACTTTCATCCTTAATATATATTTTTTGTTCTTAATTAAAATTCAAAATAGACCAGGAACCAGGAATTTTCATGTTCTTGTTCAAACGTAACAAACCCCGAAAATTCAACAATTTATTATAACGTGTATAACTTAAGATTATCATAATCAATTTCATTTTTCAATTTGTGTTAGTAGCCGAAATTTAAAAAAAAAAAATAATAACTAAAGCTTCTTCTTTCGTTATTTTGCATTCTCTCTTTCATTAAAAGCGTTATTATATCAATTGCACGCATTAAAAGCAATTCGTAAATAGTATTTTTTGTTGACCTACTTACAGGTCAGTGAGTATTTTTTTATGTAGTCATAAAAGTACAAACGATAATACAGCAAAATAAGTGTTTCTCTTAAAAATTAAATTTTAATTAGTATATGAACAACTAAAAACATTTTTATTACTTTATCACATTTAGATAATTGTTACATAATAGTAAAATATTCATGCTTAAGTATGTATTGAACTTGTTCTCGTATGAAAAAATATTATTAGTTTTTGTGAAATACAAAATAATTTTAAAGTAAGTTTTACATTCGGAAGATTATAACAAATATTAAAAAAAAAAAAAAAAAAAAAGGACAAAAAACATGTATTTTCGAATTAACGATAATGAAATTAACGCTTATCACGAATAACCGGTTGATTCATTTGTAAATTTATATTCCTAGGTAGGTAGGACTTACTTGGCATAAAAAGTATTTATAAAAACATATAGTTCTACTATATCGTTCATCATTAAAATTATTAATATTAATATATTTTGCATAATATAAATCAATAATTCATGTAAAAATTTTAATAGAAATTGGTCAACATAAATATCGATTTATTATATTTAAGCGATGCATCAGTTATGTCATGCTATTTTTAAATGTACTAACTATGCTATGATGACTTCAATTTAAAATCAAACACAAACGTGTGCATCGGTCGTGCCCACATAAGAAAATGTATATGTTTAACACGATAAATTGAAAAATAATGTATTATTTATTATTAGTCCGATTGGAATACTTTCAATATTCGAATACTGAAATAAAGACTTTACTTTATTTCATTTGTCAGTGTTTTTTTTTTTTTTTTTTTTTTTTTTTTTTTTTTTTTTTTTTTTTTTTTTTTTTTTTATGTATTTGGCTAGTCGATTACGACGTTTAAATCGTTGAACAATTAACATTTTTGAATTAGTATAGCTTCATTCAAGAATTCCATTATTATTAAAATAAATAAATATTAAGGAAACGATGCTGCGATAAATCACATATGGTTTAATGCTCATTACTGTTATATAAGACATACATATTCTTATATTAGGAAAAAAAAAAAAGAAATTATCCATATAATTAGAATGATGCGAGATTTCTGAACATTTTTATAATTTTACATATCACATATAGATAATACATTTTATTTAACGTTATTTGGATAGTTATTTAGATTATTGAGTTTTTTTTTTTTTTTTCTTAATAAAACAAATACAATTAATCATGTATACGTAAAAGAATTTTTTGATAAAGTTTGTATTAACGATATTTGTAAAAAGTTCTTTTCCGTCGATTCAATGCGAACCTACGAATACTCATTAACGATGAATTTGTTAACGATATAACTGTCATAATACAATAATTACTATCCTGTACAACAAACATAATGGTTCTTTCGTTTGCACACACCCACAGGCAACCCATTCAAGATTGACAAGCGAATGATGGTAGACGAAGCCGACATCGACATCGTAGGTGCAACATCCTCAGCCTCCAAAGGCCTAAAACGTTCCTTAGCGGTTGCGGAGGCCGGTAATTTGGGCCCGGGTGGTGGTTTGAACTCGTCCAGGCCTCCGAGCAAAAGGAAACCCGGCCCCATTCCAAAAGACGTGACCGTTCGACGGCCTTCGTATTCACCACCTAACACACCGCCTGGTTCGCCAATACCCTGGTCCGACGACATCAAGGGCCCAACATCGCCACCCCTACCACCGCCACCTTGCCCTAGTATCCTGAACAGCGTCTCTCGAAATCTGACGCCGAGTCTCAACTCGACGCCGACGACGACTACGACCGTGCCGGCGGCGGCCACGGCGCTGACGCCGACAACGAAGATGATGTCGATGACAACGTCAACGAATGTGGTGACAGCTGTGACATTGTCCATCACCACGAGCAGCACGAGCAACAGTTGTGGTATCGCGAGTTCAATGCTAATGAACAGTGCGTCAACAATAGCGCCGACGGAACAGAAGCTGGTAAACGGGGATATTCTTACTGCCGGAGTATTCGACCCGATAATACCGATTGTCGAGACGGTGAACAATAATAGTAATAATAATGGTGGTGTTGGTGGTAGTGGTGCTGCGAATCACAGTTGTGAGGCCACGGTGACAAACAACATTGATGCGACGATGAGAAATAGTGCTAACACTAGTTGTGGTGTTATTAAGACTGAAATCAAGAATGAGCCCCGGGTCATGTCGCCGTCATTTACCGACGGCCAGCACGAGAACAACAGTGTCGGTCAGATTAAGTGCACCGAGACGGAGGGTTGCAATAGTGCAGCACCTCCGACGATGAACCACGTGGATGAGAGACAGATTAAGGTGGAGCCCAAGGTGGAGAAGGAAAAGCCATTGACGAAGAAGGACCTCGAGGAGATCAGAAAACATAATTTGGAAGTCAGAAATTCGATTTATAAAGAGATACGGAGGAAAGGCACGAGTGAGTTTTTTTTTCTTGCTTCTTTCCTAATTTTACGAGATTTTTTACGAGATTTTTACGAATAGTACCCAAGTGTTTATCTCCTTTTACAATGCTCTTGATCTTGATCTTGATCTTCTTAATTAAGACGCGTAATTGACAACACGATTTTCAGTTTATAGGGCCATTTTTTAATTTGGCGTAAACGTAAAAGAAAAATGACGCGCTTTCAATAGGAATTGAAATAGGGTTTCAATTGTTAATCTTGCAAATTCATCATTAAAGCCACGCTATCCCATTCCCGCTCACGTAAATAATAATAAAATTGCCTTTATTATCAGTGTTTTAATAGAGACTGCTATTTCATTCAAACAAGAGATATGATATTTGCCGTATTTTTATAATTTACAATAAATGTTCAATTCAATTGAAACGTCACTTAGTAAAAGGTCAGCCATTTACGCGATTTATAGTGGCATATGTTTAGTGTGCAGAATGTGCATTTAAATCTAAAATGTGTACAGATGTAGATATACAAATGAAATTTAAAACCGTAATTCAGTATGAGCACCAAGCAAAACTATATAATAAATTGAGTAGAAGGGAATTAACATATACTGCGACCCCATCTTGACTTTCCGTACGAATTACTAGAAATAATACGCACCGTATCTTGCACAAATGCATGTATACCATTTGTTTTCGCTACCTACCCGCGCGCTTACACGCGCGCACACGTACACTCATATTATTTGGTGACAACGCGGATGCACGGACACCCGAAGAAACTAATACGAATATATCTATGATAAACGATGAAACGTTCCTTCGGAAAAAATCCCTCGGATGCTTCTAATATTCAATTAAATGTTGAAGCATTTCAATTAGATTTTGTCTGAAAAGGGCATCTTTAAAACAAAAAATATATATATATATATATATATATATGAGCTAAACATTTTTACCTTTTTTAATGTAAAGTTTTTCCAAACTCATGACAATATTGTGTTTCAGATATCATAATTAATGTTTAAAATACGCCAAGTCAGTCACGCAACCTTTTTCTTTTTTTCACGCGATGTATGTAAATGTACTTGCAAATGTAAAGAAAAAAGCCATTTAATAAATTATTTTCTTCAGCACCCGGACGATAAAATTTCGTGAATTTCAAAGATTCTTCGCAGTGAAGAAAATCATATTAGATAAAACTCTTCTGAAGTATTCTGATAAATACCATATGTTAAAATCATGTTCTATAATCACATTTTTTAGATTCACTATAATCTAACATATTTAAATATTTTAAATCATGATAAAAAAAAAAATATTTATGGATTCGTATAAATGTGCATGGAAATATAAATTTCATAAAAAAAGCGAAAAAATATAATATTAACCATTAGCATGTTTCATTTAAACTGTAGACGATTAAGACTTTAATAATAACGTTAATCTATTTATTTTCTTCTGTCTCTGCTACTGTGATATATGCATTATCATGTTTTTTTATATTTTTCATATTAATTTTATATGTCTAAAAACGTTTTATAAAATACTTCAATTTTGCACACATTGTGCTTGACGGATACGAACATTGATATTTGCATTATTTTCAAAATAAAGTATATAAGTGTTCACAATATTCATCTATCGATAAAAAAAAAAAAAGACATAAACAGTAGTCATTTACTTTAGTCATAATAAAAATGCGAATAAATTGAAGTTTAAATTTTTTCTTTTTTTTTCTTTTATTGTTTTATAAACAATCAATTTAATCTTATACTTCTTAAAGCATAAAGTAACTCAGAGTTATAAACCTTAACTTACTATAAAATATTATAAAATAATTGAAAGTATTGAATAGTTTCTATTATAAAATGCATTGTTTGCAAACGCTGCAACAATGCAAATTGTTTCAAAATCTCATGTCGTTTAAATTAATATTTAAAAATAATGCTTAAATAGTATTAATACACTGAAATTTAATAAATGAGCAATCATTGCAGCAAAACAAATAAAATTTTCAATGTAATGTCATAAATATTTATCTTTATGGTCATTAATTGATAATTACATTTGATTAATCGTATAAATAAATAAATCAAATTTATGGATTGACAATTCCATTTTATTTTTTCTACAATTGCATTTATGAAAAATGTATTTTTTCAATATTTTTGTTTTTTAAGAATTTAATCATTACTACAAATTTCCCAAAAAAAAAAAAAAAAAATTAAAGAAACTTTTAATTGTATCAATTTTGCAGTGCAAAACAGTTTTAATAAAAGAATAAAATTCTAACAATAGATAATCCGATTGGCAAATATGTTAATAAAATCGACTGGCTACGTATTTAAAATTAAATCAATTAGTTATAAGAATTATATTCAATATTCCTTTTCCAATGTCGGAAAGCAAACATTTAATTTCGAATCAATAGAGATCAAAAGAATGGTTAATAGCATCTTAGTTTACTTCTATGAAATATTATTAATTGTTAGAATTATGGTTTTTATTATATATACATTTTTATTTAATAATAAAATTAATTTGAACAATTTTTTCATTATATCGATAATTTAAGAAGCAGATATTTATAATTGACTTAACTCTCTTAATGATTACTTACGTATAACAGTGTGAGTCTATTTTCCCCTCGCACAACACCATATACACAATTTGAAAAGTAAATATGTTTTACATATACCACTAAAAACATTAATTTTTAAGTTTATTAATGTTGATATTTAAGCTGTAAATTTAATACGAATTATAATAAATATTTATATTGTAATTTTAGACTTTTTATATATTTTTTTTAATTTTATATAAGAAACTCGACTGTTGTGGAAAATATAGTTGATATTAGAAAAATTCAATAAATTTTCAATCCTTATTCTGTATTTAAACATTTGATTGTTTTCATATTTGCAACAGTTTTAACCACTTACTATGTTCCATTAAAAATAGATCGGTAACTATTTCATAACAATATTGGCGTTTTTATTCTCATCTGTTACTTCAACCATTGTGTATCTACAATTTTTATTATTTTATAATCAATGTAATATTAAAGTTTTTTTTTTTTTTTAAATACAAATAATTTCATAGATTTGTAATAAATTTAGTAATGCATTTTAAGTTATGAATGTAATCTTACATTTTTAATGAATTTAAAAGCTACAAAAACTATTTATAAAACAAAGAGATGTTTTACCATATTATACTTTTAGAATTATATTTTTAATTAATCAATCATTACTTTTATTATATACAATTTCTAATCTTCCTTTCTGTAAATCATAATAACAAGTTGAAGTCATTTCTGGAAATTTGAATTATTTAATGCATTAACAAAATAATTTATTAATTGCAAATAAATACCTTAGATTTCACTGCATATGCTATTACTTTAATATAACTTTATTTTATTTATTTCATAATTTTAATAAGTATTTATATTTAGTAAAATTTGTTTAATATATTTAAAAAGTGAGAGTTTATTTGAAAATCATTGTTTATTGAATTTATTGAATCAAGATTTTTTTGAATTATAACCTATTAATATATAGGTCTTGGTTAAAAGGCTTTTTTTTTTTTGAAGTAGTAAATTTTCTAAGCTTCCTAAGTTCATGTAACTTTTTTTAATCTCCATCCATTTCTGCAATAATATAATTTTTTATAGTTTTATGTCTCAACACTTTTAACTCTTATTCTGACAAAAATCCATAATTTAGATTTTAAATGTAAAGAAATTTGTTGATTTCATAATTTCTTGAAAAAATTTATTATTCCAATCTTAAGTAGGATATACTATACCTATACTACGATAATAGTAAAAGAATTAAGAAAAATGTTTAGCTTTACACAAATTTTGCGTAACAAAATTCTTATTATATGGAATTACATTTGCGAAAGTAAATTTTCCATAATATTAGGAGTTGTGCTTGCATAAAGTTTAAGTGACAACACATATACTGACAATAAGAGATGGAAAGAAAGCGTATTAATTGTAGAATAATATCACCACTTACTTACCAGTGTAAGTTTTTCAAAATGTGTTTATTTTAAATGCGAAAAACAAAGAATCCCTACTCGTATGACTATTATAAAAATTCTTTGTAAAATATTATTGAAATAAAAAAAAATTAATTGTATATTATAATAGTACTATTTATGTGTGAAAATCATTACAACACAAAATATTGATTAAAAAAGCCTTTATGTTTAATTGAAATTAATTTCGAACTTTTTATAGAAATTTCATAAAAACAATTCTTTTCAAATAATTTTAAATTTAGTCATACATATCAATGCATGCAACACTAAAAATATTTATAATTATTATCTACAATTGTGGTTACAATATTTAAAGAAAAAAATCTAATTAATATATAAATGTAATAAATAAAAGTATATATGATTTTCATTGTTTTTTCACTAAATAACATTTTTAATGTTAGAATAATTTTTTTTTTTTTTTTTTTTTTTTTTTTTTTTTTTTTTTTTTTTTTTTTTTACAAATAGTGCATCATAGCAAGTGTATAACTAATATAATATAGAAAATAAATTAATCATATTCGTAAATGCATAGTTTCTGTGTTCGTTGTACGATAAATAATTATTGAATTCTCTATAAAAATTTACTTACATAAAAGGGAAATGCAATGGAGATATTGAAGTTATCGCATTGTATTAATTACATTTCTTTTATGCAATTACTATCTTTGCTCGATTCGCATTATCATATAGAGTTTCATTCTATAATTCTTTGATATAGAGGTATGGGGACTTTCTAACTTATTTCTATTGCTCGAGTAATAAGCTGCCCTATATGTAATAAATATGAATATTTAATCGATTGCATAAAGTATTTGAAAATCTTAGTTATTACAAATCGTCGTTATGAACTAAAAATTCAATGCAATGGCACAAAAGCTGCTTTCTTAATAAAATTATCTAATCGTGCATGTAAAAAATTTATAATCAAACATAAAATTGAAAACGTACGCATTAATTCCAAAAGATAATCTCTTTATTTATTTTTCATTTATGTGGCTGATCTTTAAAAAATGATTGTAAAAGTATTACTACAAAATATTGAAGAGAAAGAACATTAATGTTTTATAAAATAACAATTTTATATTAAAATAATTAAATGTTTTTTTTTTCTTTTTAATATACCTCTTAATCGATATATTCTTTAGATTATTTTTATTTGATTAAATTATATCCATAATTATATTAAGGGGACTATAACTTTGTGAAAATGTTTATCTATTTTATCTAACATTCTTGATCACACTGCTTGAAAAAAAATTTGCTACACATATTAAATAATATTAAAATTTATATTACATAACATGTCATAAAGAATCTACTTCGGAATGTTCATGTTTCTGAATGAGCTAATGCCACGGTCAGTTAATTAATTTTAAATCAAATAATATTATAGTCAGAACTAACGAGCGAAATATTGTTCAATAATGTCTCATATCAAGTCTCTTAAATTAAATATTATAAACATTACCGTTACATTGTAATATATTTAATACAAAGTAATATCATCATACAGCTACAAGCGGTTAAATAAAATTCCAACGATCGATACGTTTTTACAGCAAATTATTATTACACGAATTATTTTTAAAAAACTTAATAGTTACAAAAGAAATTTTTCGAAGATAATGGTTGATAATTATTTTACAAACGTAAGATTTATCATTCGAATTGATAAGTGCATAATAAGCGATTAATTTTTAAGTCATAATTATAATTTGTTGTTGTCAATAACTCAAACTTTACACAGCCTATTTTTATGGACAATACTAATATTTTGAATAATAAATAACATTAATTAAAATGTCGATTATTATTTTAAGACTTTTAACGCATAAACATATCTTGGTATATATTTTCATAATATATTTTCAAAAATAATTTTCCTATATTATCACCGTTAATTATTTACTTAACAATTAATAATGTAGTCTTTGCCAAAACGGAAGTGAATATATATTTTTATAAAAGAAAAAAATTTTGTTACTTAAGCCTAATAGTCACATTGAATCTAAATATCGATATTTATGAACGTTAAATTGATTTAGACAGAAAAAATAATTTTGTTATTGTTCATTCGATGCTTTACTTACGTTCTTTTCTTCTTCTTCATAATATACGTTTATTGTTCACGTTATATAATAAACTTTTTTTTTGTTAATTAAAAATTGCTAAGCGAAAAACATAAGTTACCTTGTTTTTGTAACTTAATGATATAATAATTCTTACACTAAGCTTATTTAAAATTTTTGTTCAAATTTCAAGAGAGATAATTTTAAATCACAATCTGGCGATTTATACATTGTAACGAATGTATAATCGCTATAAGAGCTTATTGCTCTTGCGTGACTAATGATTAAGATGACAAGGGCGCAAACCGAATTATAAAATAATGAAATTCTTCGCAGATGCGGACGTGTTAAGTTTCAGTGAACCAAAACGAGGATTTTATTATAATTTCGACGATTGGTATTATTTTGTTATTCAAGGTTTGACATTGAAATTTATGCTTAATTTTTTTTTTTTCCAATTTGAACTTTTTTTAATCTTATTTAACAGATTTTCGACGGTTGACTTTATTCAATTGAAATAATTGGAATACTCTGAGTTTTTTTTTTTTTTTTTTTTTTTTTTTAATTTTATTTCTTTTTTTTAGTATCTCTTATTGCTGGCTATAAATATTGCAGACATCATAAATTTCCATCTGAATCTCCCATATTCGACTCATGTAAAAGTAATATTGTCTATAGTATCGTGTTGTATTATCACATTTACTTATGTAAAGCTTCGAGCTGACCTAATTTAATTTCTCTTCTTTTTAATCGTTATTCTACCTTCATTGAATAAGAATTTAATTCATAGTGCTGCTGTATTGCTTTTTAATAAACATATGATTTAATACTATGATTTCTAATGAATTCTAATCAGTTGCTTCTGTACATTTAAAACAGCAATGAGCCTCTTCGCTTATATAAAATTTTCTCTCTTCAATATTTGAATATTATGTAAAGTAATCATGGGGTAATTAATAACAATATGTGAGCTTGATTCATAATACAAATGTACGTAGTAAAGGTTGTTCCTTTCTTGATTAGTCTCGAACACGCCAGAGAGCGCATACTAGTGAAGAGAAAAAACAAGATCTCGCGCGCGCATGTGTAATACATTCCATATTAAGGGAAGTCGAAAGGATGTGCTATAGATTGTTTTAATTTTATATTAATATTGGAGGTTTTTCGAAAGTTTTCAGTACTGTCATAATCAATTTTGTCGACCCCTTCAATTGTTTCTCGATTTTTATTTATTTATTTTTTTTTTTATTCAGGCTTTGATTCATTCGTCTGCGATATTGAGTTACTTTTCATTACATGTGCATTAGTATTCACACAATGATTGGACCTTCCATTGGGTGCGATTTTAGTAGTAAGCTGTTCCATGTAATATATATATATATATATATATATATATATATATGCGCACATTTGGAAGGGACACTCCGTGTAAGTCAGTGTTAATGCGCATGCGACAAAACAAAAAAAAAAGTATCTTGTATCGTAAAGCTGAAATGTCATTGAATCTCCCGTTGTATTTATTCTAACAGCAAATCTGAGTAATCGGCGTGAATATTTTAAAGAGTCTGTATCCTAAAATTTAGTAGGACAACAAGATCTAAACTTGGATTATAATGAATTTACCAAACAAAAATTTGCTAAAAAACATATAGGATTACTTGCTTAATTATGAGCTTAATTATGAACTTAATTATTCGCTTAATAAGAATAAATGCGGATTATTTTTAATTTATGTATTTTTAATATAGTCTATAAAATGTAGAATTTAAAAGAAAACATTTTCTTGACGCATCCGTTTGTCACTTTAATGTATTTCAAATAAGCACTGTACTTTCATTATTGGATTTATCTTACTTTCTCTGCATAGTATATACCATTTTTGTTAAATATAAAGGCAATAAAAATATATTTAAAAAGTTTCTTGTTTTCATATTGTGTGAAGAATGCAAGATTTATTATTAAACCGATATTTCCAGCCTTTTCTTAATATATCATTTATAATAATAATAATAAATTTATTCAGCTTGTATCTGACTTATGTATTTATGTAACAAAATTCAATCTTCAATAGTGGTAGTCTTAATTATAAAGCTTTGTTTCTGTAATTTCACTCTGTCATTGTATTCAATAGAGATTAATATCGTAATAATTGATAAAGTTTATTATAAATATAAAATGTTATTCTACTTAATGAATTAAACTAGAAATATATTTGGAGGTTAAGTTTCAACATGAATATATGCATTATAAACCTTATTTATACGGATTACATAAGACTTTGACATGTAAAGTTTCGTTTCGAAACAATATTAAAATTAAAGCTTATAATAAATGATAAGATATTTTCTATAAAGAGATTACGTAAGAAAAAAAGTAGTAGTAGAAATTTTAATAATGCAATATTATCGATTCCTGTATTCTTTTAATGAAAAGTAATTTTATTTTGTCCGTTAATGCATATTGTTTAATTATAGAAATAAGATTCTATTCACGTAGGTCGCTAATATAATTTTTGATAAGATCTTTCGTTAAGTACACCACTAGTTCGTAAATTAATTTAATAAATGCAACTAAGAGTAAAAAGGTATGCATTATCTCAAAAGGTGCTTATACACCGAATGCGCACGTACATTTGCTATCACTGGCATTGATAGACAATCAGACATTGATTTAAGAATAATACTATTTACCAAAATATGTTAAAAAATATATAAATATAATTTATTTGTAAAAAATTAAAAACAACTGAACTTATCTGTATATTTGAAAGATAATTTTAGATTAAAATATATTATAATACTTTACATTTCTGTAATATAGTTTAACGGAAAAGTAGTGTATTTAATACGCGACAATACACTCTTATCACTTATAATTAGAAGTTAATTAATATAGTTTAGATTGTTACGCTAATATAGAGATTGAATTAGTTTTAAATATTCAAAAACTAAATAATCAATAGCATATGGCTAGTCAATTGGAGTAATGTTCGAACGTATTAAATAAACGTATCCATGAAAGTTTTCTTTAAAATCTCTCAGCTCAAAAAGTAGCCCCCCACCCACTCCCCGCTCCAAGTTCTTGTTAGAATAGAAAAGACAAGAAAAGAAAATTAGAAGAAAAAAAATTGTTCCAAGCTTTGTTTTTCTCAAAATTCTTCCCGGCTTGTATCACTTATATTATATATGCCAGATATAATTCCTCTACTAATAAACTCAATGCGCGGATAAAGATTATATAAAAAAAAAAAAAAAAAAAAAAAAAAAAAAAAATAGACGATAAAGTGTAACCGAAAACAACGTTTGCTTTATTTGCAGATTTCGCTACCCTCTTCACGCACCTGCAGGTGATCCAAGGAAGCCTTGACACTCGGCTCGCTTTCGTCCGCGACATCGTCAAAGAGTCACTGCGCTTTAAGCGACGTAACCTCGCCAACCTGCTGGAAGAGTACCTTAAGAAGCTTCAGGAAGAAAGCAAAAACGTCGTCATTAATTACAAGATGCATCACAACGGCGCAAATAAAATAACTTAATGATCTCGAACTTAATGCCCCTATTAATGACACAAGTGCACCCGTGATGGGCCTTTTTTAGAAATGAGAAAAAATATTCTTTTGTCCGGGATTCAATGAGCATATCTCTTCGAGCAAGATATACAAGCAGATGTATAGATAAACATAAATATATAGATATATTAATTGACTCGGCCACGGCGGGGACACTTTATTTTAAACGGAGGGAGGATTTTCTATTCTCCTTCACCTCTTAATTCTTTTTTATTTTTAATTTTTCATTTTTAATTATTATCGTTTAAAAATGTAAAGCAGAAAATCGCAGACTTTGCACATACTTATGGACGAACTATCACATGCTTTTTTTATTATTATTAAAAAAAATGTAGGGAATCTTTTCTTTTGATGAACTTATAAGAGTTTTTTCTCCTTCGTGCGTAATCTCCCGATATATATTTTCTTGTAAGATATACAGAAATGCCAATCGTTATTATCCGAGATAAAAATAATGAAGATTATTATCATCATCATCATTATTATTATGATTATTATTGCTATTATTATTATTATTATTATTATTATTATTATTATTACTACTACTACTACTACTACTACTACTACTACTACAACTACTGCTACAACGACTACTACTAGTACTGCTACTTTTACCACTATTGCTGCTACTACTGCTCTTACTGCTACTCCTACTACCACTTACTACTACTACTACTACTACTATTACTACTACTACTACTACTCCCACTACTACTACTATTACTACTACTACTACTACTCCCACTACTACTACTATTACTACTACTACTACTACTCCCACTACTACTACTATTACTACTACTACTACTACTCCCACTACTACTACTATTACTACTACTACTACTACTCCCACTACTACTACTATTACTACTACTACTACTACTCCCACTACTACTACTATTACTACTACTACTACTACTCCCACTACTACTACTATTACTACTACTACTACTACTCCCACTACTACTACTATTACTACTACTACTACTACTCCCACTACTACTACTATTACTACTACTACTACTACTCCCACGTATAACGGGTCGTTAATCTCTGTGTAAATTTTGTTATTATATACATATATATATTTGTTAAAAGAAAGGGACAGATGGAAACAAACAAGTTGTACACACACTTACATAAACGGATGCACATATAGAAATGCGCATGCTCATGCGCGCACGCGCACGTTACTCGAAAATTTCGAGTCTTTTGTCATTTTAATCGATCCAAGCAGAACTCAACATTTTTTCTTGTTTCTACAAAATGAATAAAATGAGAATATATTACAACAGGAGTCGTCTGTTGTTTGTAAAAAAGAAAAGAAAAAGTGATGTAGGAAAAGACACAAAATCCGATTAGAATGTAGAACCGTGTATTAGCAAATGGAGAAAGAAAAAGGATTATTGCGTATTTTACAATGTATTTTACTAAATTAAAATATTTGGGAAAAATAACGAATCGTTGGATATTTTGATTCTTCTTTTCGAATAAATCTCTTTCGCGAGGAAAATCGACGAAATTTTCAGTTTTGAGATTTGTATGTCTTGTACATAGAATGGAAAAGTTAAAAGCAAATATGCATTAAATATGAGTATAAAGACCCTAACCAAAGTTTTAACTACAGTGCCTGATGTTTTTTCTATAATCAAGAATAATAAATTTAAATTATAAATTCCCTCGGTGAAAATTGAATTAAAATTCTTCTAAAAGTCGCTTTTTAATAATATTAGTAAAAGCAACAAGGTATAAAAAATAGAATTTTTGAGAAATATTGTTTGCTTTTTCTTTATTCTTTGATATGATTAACATTACAGATTTCATAAACCGTATTTAATAAAGTAAACGATGTTATTGATATTTCATTGTATTACATAAGGTAACATTTTTAATATATACATTATATATATATATATATATATATATATATATATATATATATATATATATATGTCTGTGTGTATATATTATTGAATATATTTACTAAAATCTACTTTTGTAAATAATTGATAATTTTTATTGAGTATAATGATCTTTTTTTAGTATCGATCAAATTATTATGTACGAATTTCAAAGTTCGATTTTTAAAATAGTTAAAACTGAAAAATGATAATTTGTGTTTAATAGAATTATTAATTACAATTGCTTTTGCTTTTTCAACATTTACATAATTAAGATGAAAGCCAATAAGGAGAACAATTTTATAAGCACTTTTACGTTTATAATATGTAATCATTGTATCAAATTCTCTATCATATTGATTATATCTCTTTTCTGAAACTTCATTTTAATGTAATATCATCTTTTTCCATAATTTAAATTCGTATTATATTTCGAATATCTAATCGTCTACTACTTCTTTTGATGAACGTAAATTGACATTTTAATTATTACGATGGAGAGAAAAAAACATTAAGAAGTTTTATAATACAATGGATATTGGGAATATTTTCATGTTATATGTTTATGCTTTTGGCGATTTCTATATACTTTTTAATTACATTAGAATTAAAGAGAGAAAGAAGTATACATTTACATTCAAACGTAGAAAACAAAAAAATTTATATAAAGAAAAAATTCATGTATAATGGTTAATCATATACACGAATATTCCAAATATCACTTTAAAGATACTATACGTTTTAAACAAATATATAATAAACATATTTCCCGTTATTTAATGCACAAAAGATTTTCAAATTTATCTAAATCCTCATAAAGTTGTTATTACAGGATAATGAAATATGGCATATTGATTTAAATAAAAGTTTATTTTATTCCGATTATAGAGTCAATTCCAGCGTAGATTTAGCCAATTTCTTTTCAGTACATTTATGATATAAATTAAATGCATCAATTTATTCGGATAAATAGGCAACTTTAATTGTATATTAAAGCAAAGACTTTTATATTATATCAAATGAACGAAGTTTCATAAATTCATTTTACTTTGGATAATTGGCAAATATCCTAAGTACCTTTCAAATTTTTCCATCTAGGTAACACGATCTCATATCTTTTTTGGAATGCTTAGCTAAAAGTACAATGAAATTTAGAAATAAAATCTAATTAGTAATAATTATTATATTTTCAACTGGAAATTCAGAAAAAGTTTGAATTTTTTTCGTGTACCTATATATTAAAAAAAAAAAAAAAAAAAAAAAAATGAATTTTCTTTTTTCAAACAATCATGCATTTATGTTAAAACTTTTCTTTTCTGCAGAATAACAACAGTAATACATTTATAGAAATTACCTACGAAAGATTTTTAAAATGCAGAATTGTTTTATAAACATGAAATAACAGGCACTAATAATTATTTTAAAAGAAAAATCGTTAATAAATTGTGCATTTTACAATTATACATGGACTTGCAAAAATATTACGTATTGGGTGTAGTAAAATGCTTTCAACAATTTTATGATTTAGCCACCAAGTTTTATTATAATCAATAAATTATTTATATATTTAAGAATTCAAACAAATATTAAAAAAAATTTCTAGATTCTATTAGTATTTCTTTGAATTCAAATTATATATATTTTGTCCATGATTTTAATTTTGACGTATTGTAAAATAAATCATTCCTTTTTATTTCATAATAATGCAAAACGACTTGTCAGTCATTGCATTTATTATTGTTAATTTTCTTCTTTATGAAATTGTCAATAAAACATTGATTTTGTTAATGTTTTGCATACATTGTTAATTACGTTCAAAATAGAACATAATACATTACGGAAGAATAAAAGAATTAAAGAAAATTTGTAATTTTTTATTTGTGTTAGCGCCCGAAGTTTTATGAACGCAAAACAATATATTTCTTTAGTAATATTTTTTAAACCCAATATTTCAAATGCATGGCCCTATATGTATGGAAATCATTCTTTATTCAAAACATTTTTCGCAAATAATCGATATGTAAGAACAAAAAGAATATCGGATTTCGGGAGAAAGGAAAATCTAATGAAATCCTCACAAGACAATGACAAGCTAAATACGCTTATCGGCTACAAATATTTAGCCGAGCACCTTTTTTAACACTAAGTGCGATTTCGTAATGTACCAGAAGAGTCGAAAGTGAATAGTCAAACGAAGTAAAAGTTTTTTTCCTTAATCAGTGAGTCGTATTTGAAAAATTGTTAAAATTACTATTATAATCGGCGTTATTAATGCTTTCATTTAATCAATATTCGTTATTAATACTTTCAATATATATATATATATATATATATATATATATATATATATAAAAATAATTTTTGAGCTTACGTACTGAATTTATTATGTGAAAAGTACCTCTTAAATTTCATTATTGTTGCTTAAAAAAAAAAAAAAAAAATATCGAAAACTGTTTGAACATGCTAAGAAACTAAATTGCCTAAATTTTAACAGAACTTAGTCGCAAAAAAAAAAATGGATGTGCAAGTTCTAATTACGAGAAATATTTGTAAATTTATAGTGAAAATATTCAAGTCCAAACGTTTTGAAAATTAAATGAAATGTAAAATATTGTAAATTTCTGTAAAAAGAAAAAACTTTAAAATGTAGTATTTGTGAAGAGATGTAAATAAATGTCATTGACTTCAATAATTCTAATATAATATCAACAATTTTTTCGTTTCTTTCTAGTTTACTAAAATATTTATTTTTTAATTTACGTTTGATACATTTTTCAATTATTTTTCTTTCTTCATATATATATATATATTATTTCCTTTATTTTCCGGGAAGAAAATGTTTTTTATAATTATTTTGAAATTGAAATCAATTAAATTAAATTAAAACAAAAAGTTAATATTGGGATTTTTCAAATATGTAAAGTTATATCTAAAATTGGATATTAACTTTTTGCAATACATTTTCTTATTAATATTTTTGGTACTGATTGTACAAAATTGAACACAAACAAATCAAAATTATAACGAACAGACAACTATAAGCCAAAGTATAATACAAATTACTTTATTGTTTTGTATTTAGCTGTATTATTTTACAATATATGTATAAATTTTGAAATATTGTATTGAATTTAAGCTTAAAATTTAGCTTTAAAACTAAATTTACTCATGGTAACGATAGAAAAATAATTTTAAAAAACAAAACATTGAAATAAAAATTAAGGATATTTTACTTATGAAAATTTTTTGCTCCAATTGTAAATGCATAATTAAACAATTCAATGAAGGTATCGCGAATATTTAAATTGAAAACAATATATATATATATATATATATATATATATATATATTGATTATTCTTTTCTTATTTGATAAAGTACGAAGTCATTTTAAATGTAATGATACATAAACATTTAATTATGCATAGTTAATCTGTGTTATGTAAAATGATAATTAGATTATTTCGTGTTATATCAAAAAACAAAAAACAAAAAAACATAAAATAAACAATTTACAGGCAAGTACATGAGTATCATTATAAACGAATGTAAACATCAGGAAAAACTAT